ATCAACACACCTGTGTTCGCAAAGGCTCCAGTTACTGTAGAGCTTCCTTAGGGGCTGGTCCCAGTTTCAAATACACTTTCCACTCTTACCATAAAACACTGACATGTTCTAGAAATAGCAATCGACTGGCATTCAACTTTACCTGTCTCTCTCTGGTACTGTGCAGCAAAACAAAACTCTTTCAGTTGATGTGACCCCAACCAAACGAGTATTGAACTTGCAACTTTCAGTCTGAGACCTGAGTTCAAACCTAACCCGTCCCATTTACTTGCTGTATAGCAGCAGGTGAGCCACTTCCTTTGCTGAACCTCAGTTTCCTCATCTGTAAAATGGGACTTGTAATAGTTCAGACGCCACAGGGCTGCTGTAAGGATGCAAGGGGTGTGAGGACTGAACAGGTGTGATGGCCCCGGCCTGGGACCAGGCCCTGGCTCCACAGTGCAGACTTTATTAACTCCTATCATTATTATTTTTCCCCCACGACTGACAAAGGGAACTATCTTTTCCTTCTCTGCTCTGCACATCACAGAAGCAAGTTGCGAGAGTGATGGATCACAACCCGTAATCCATGTGATGAGCTCTGGACAATCGTTTCAAATCCCACTTCCTCCTGCTGGGAGGATAAGCTAAGACACTTCCCTTCTTGAAGCCAGAGAAACAAGACAAAATAAATAATAACCGAGCACAGTATTTAACCTCACAGTGCCCTGGAGAGGCGAGGCCTGCAAGAAGGATCAGAGAGCAGTTTGGGGAGATGGAGGGGCTCACCTACAACCACTTCTTCAGCCAGTCCCCAGCCCCCCATGCAGATCAGCCAGCCAGCCACTTCAGGGGTCGTAAGGTACCCCGAGTCACACTGGAAGCTTTGCTCAGGATTAAAGTGAGGGGGCTCTGGCTCCCGAGGCTCATGCCTGGAGGCTGTCCAGCCCCGCCACGGGCTCTGCACTGGGGATAAGGTTCAGATCAACAGCCCAGCCTGGATCAAGCATGCAGCTCTGGACAGGCTGCTAGCGCGGCCGTGGGACTAGGGGGGAACCCCAGGTGGATTTCACCAGGCTCTGATGACCCTACCCCCCAATTCCAGATGCCCCCCAAGTTTGTTCTCTGCGATCTTCTGGAACAGGGCCCAGGTGGGAAGGGCGGTTGGTGGGACCCATTTGGCCTTCTGCACGGGAAGCCCAGGCTTCGTGGCTGGCGGCTGCTGTGCTCCGCGCCCCAGTTAATCCTCTCCCCTGACAGGTGGGCGGGGCAGGTAATATTATTTCCTTTCGTCAGATGGGAAGACGAAGATCCTGGCAACTGCGGAGGTGACTGATGTTTGCTGAGTGTCTCCTCCACCGCAGGCACCCCGCGGGGCGCCCGGTGCTGTCTCATGCCAGCGCAATCAGGTTTCCATTTTGCTAATGAGCCCACGAAGCCCAGAGAAGTGAAGCCACATGGGCAAGGCCACACAGCTGGCAGCCAGCACAGCGGCGCTGCGCGATTACTCACCCTCAGGAGCTCGCCTCAGACTCGGGACCAGGTCCTGCCGCACCGAGGAGAACGCCGCCCGCCCCAATTACACACCGCGAGACTCGCCAAGCGAAGTCTCCAGACTTTTTGCGTTTAAATAAATGGTTCCAGTTATCTATGGCTGCTTAAAAAACGATCCCCAAATGTATCAAGTGAAACAGCTATTTCCTCACGCAGGCTTTGCAGGCCGGAGCTTCCTCACGGCGGAGCAAGGCCGCCTGCAGCGCGTTCCAGGGGGGCCGAGGCCTCCGCTGAGGTGGCCGGACACGGACTTGGTCGGTTAGCCGACCGGGCCGGGGCCCGGCCGTGGGCCAACTTCATTATTTCTTTTCCATGTGGCGTCAACTGGGGCCCGACAATCCAAGATGGCCTCCCCCTCACCTGTCTAGGCCCAACAATCCAAGATGGCCACCCACTCACCTGTCTAGGCCCAACAATCCAAGATGGCCACCCCCTCACCCGTCCAGGCCCAACTATCCAAGATGGCCTCCCCCTCACGTGTCCAGGCCCAACAATCCAAAATGGCCACCCCTCACCCTTCTAGGCCCAACAATCCAAGATGGCCGCCCTTCACCCGTCTAGGCCCAACAATCCAAGATGGCCTCCCCCTCACCCATCTAGGCCCAAAAATCCAAGATGGCCACCCCCTCACCCATCTAGGCCCAACAATCCAAGATGGCCTCCCCCTCACCTGTCTAGGCCCAACAATCCAAGATGGCCTCCCCCTCACCCATCTAGGCCCAACAATCCAAGATGGCCTCCCCCTCACCCATCTAGGCCCAACAATCCAAGATGGCCTCCCCCTCACCTGTCTAGGCCCAACAATCCAAGATGGCCGCCCCTCACGCCTCCAGGACGGACAATCCAAAATGGCCACCCCCGCGCGCGTCCAGGCCGCTCGCCAGGGCTGCAGGGGCCACCCACGCGCACAGCTCGCTCCGCGTGGCCTCCCCCTGGCACACGTGGGCGTCCCTGGGCAGCCCGACTCCGTGTGTAGACACTCGGGTCCCCGAGAGTGCCCGGCAGCCGCCGCAGGGCTTGCATGACTTAGCTCCACAAGCCCCCAGTTCCGACGGGGCCCCTAGTTTGGCAGCCCTGGAGGGACCCCCGTGTCTCCCCTCCAGAAAGCATCGGTCCTTCTGCTGGAGCAGAGTCCCCGGGTATTTCGGGGGCCTCCAGCTGTGACTGCACATAAGTGGGGGTGGCGCTGGAGTCTCCCCATCCTCCCAATGCCGCCGCCCGGCGGGGCTGGCTGCGCCCCGGGCTGTCACGCGGGGACACCGGCGAGGGCCGCAGAGCTGCCCGGTGCGGCGAGGCCGCCCCGGCCACTCCCGCCTCCTTCCCGCACGTGTCGGGGCTGTTTTGTTACACCCAGTAGACCTCTTACACGCATACCTCCATTCACGCTGCCTCTCAAGAGACCACCACAAGCCCAGGTGGAGGGAGAAGCAGACCCCAACCTTCAGCGGGAGGATGCCACGCATGCACAGCCGTCCCCACCCACCTGGACAGTCAGGGCATAACATGCACATGTAGACACAGAACACATGACGTGCATGTATAAAGGCCCAGACGGCACCCGTGGTCAGCTCTGTGAACTATCACAGCGTGCACGCACCCACGTAGGCACCATGGAGATGAAGAAATGCGCCAGCTCCCCAGCAGCTCCTCCAGCACTTCCCCTGCACCACCCCCCTCCTCCCGACTCACCTTCCTGCCCAAAGGTGACCATTATCCCAACTTCTAGCACCAGAAGTCTCCTGGCCCTGCTGTTGTACTTTACATACATGGAATCACAGGGCATGAGCTACTTGTGTCTCATTAGTTTTACCTTATGTTGGAGACCCTCCATGCTGCTGAGTGTGGCAATATTTGTTCATTTTCATGGTCTTCCATTCTTTGACTATGTCACCATTTATGTTTTATTATTAATGGGAATCTACACTTTATTTATTTTTAAATAATAAATTTTATTTTTATATTCCCCATACAATTGCAACCCCCCCCATTCTGACCCCAATCCCTCCCCTCCCGGCCCCCACCCCCCAAAAAGTGTCTCTGGTTCATAGTTTTTTGTTGATTTTGATTTTCACTTTCTTATAGTTATTCATTTTCCTGATCCCTTATTTAAGTTTTCTAGATTCCTGCTATGAGTGAGACCATCCGGTATTTTTCTTTTTCTTTTTGGCTTATTTCGCTGAGCATGATCCCTTCCAGCGCCATGTGTTACAAACAAATTGCATGTGTTTATCTTTTTTGAATGCTGAGTAATATTCCATGGTGTATATGGACCACATCTTCTTGATCCAGTCATCTATTTTTGGGCGTTTGGGCTGTTTCCAAAGCTTAGCTATAGTCTACACTTTTTTTGATCATGCACTCTACCACTAGGAAATCTTAACTGTGCACTTTCTCTTTGTATCTCTGTCCATCTGTCTGTCTTTCTCTATGCATATATATCACAGTATATGCTTCACTGTAGTAAACTTTTGTACATTGTAAAACACAGATACATAGGCATGTTAAAAGATGAGCTAAACTAGAAGTTTTGGTTTTTCCTTTCTGCATTCCATGGGTTCATGCCTGCTCTGCTCCCCACTTTGTGGGCTCCTGGCTTGAGGGCCAGGACTCTGATAGTGTTTAGGTTAAATAAAAAGATCTCATGGGACAGGTTGGGTGCTCATAGGCTTTGCAATCAGACAGGCCTGTATGCATGTGAGCTGCTCGACTCTCAATCAGTGATGTTATTTCCTCACTCACAGAGGGGAGCCCTGTCTTGTGTTCATCCAGTTAATCTTTAATGTGTGCCAGGCCCAGTTCTAGGCACTGGGATGACAACAAAGACCAGCAAGAATCCCCTAGCCAAGGGCATACAGTTCTTTTTTTTTTTTTTTTTTTAAGATTTATTTATGCATACAGGAACTGGGGTGCAGGTCAGTGGTGTGGGGGTGAGAGGATTCACCAGAGACAGAGTGGGGAGCAGAACAGGCAGATGCACTGAAATACACTGCTGAGGGGAGCAGCAGGAGACAGGAGAGGTCTGCTGCGCCATTTGGGTCAGCTCCCTGGCCAGGATAGAACTCATGCTACAGTGGCTGCCGAGAGCTTCACAGTGCTGAGACTCAACCCCTTGCACAACCAGGGAGGCCCAAGGGCATACAGTTCTCACGTGGGGAGAGTGGGCGATTAGATGCAGCGATCCTCTCCACCACACAGGCCAAAGGCACCGGGGTGTTTCTGGAAGTTCTGAGCACGCCCTGCGTTAGAAGCAGATGGCGTGGAGTGGACTCAGCTTGTCCTTCCCTCCCTACCGGTCTCTCTGGCATTCTCTCCACTGGGGGCTCTCCCTCCTCCAGCCTTCCCCCCATAGCGTGGCAGGAGGGGGTGGTGGTGGGAGCTCAGGGCCGCAGGGAGGCAGGGCAGGAAGGACCAGGGGCAGAGGGGTGCAGATTTCAGGGACCTGTGGTTCCATTAGCCACCCCCTCCGCATGCCCAGCTCATGCTGGCGCGCTCCTGCCTCCCCCTATCTGGACAGGGTGTCTAATTGAAATTGAAGACCTGTTTAGCTGTGGGCCTACACAGCCCGATGGCAAATGTGGGCGACCACAAAGTATGTGCCGGCGCTTCACGTTCCCAGGAATCTGACAAAGTGATTGATGCCTCGAGGCTCTTTCTTCAGAGGTCTGGAGCCAGTCTCTTGTTTAGGCCATGCTGTGGAAGATTCGTCCAGTCCGGTCTTGTGCTCAGTAATCTAAGAACACAGAAGAGAATGGACGCCCAGTCAGCCCTGAGAAGCACCTACAGCTTGTACCAGAGCTTAGATCTGCACTACGAGGCGGCTTGCAAGTAATCCCTGAGCCTTACCTGCCCACAAACCCACAAACCCCACGAGACTTGCTTGTGACTGGCCGGATACTGGCCACGTCCCGTCCACGTGATTGTGGTGGGTGCAAATCAGGGACCACTGTCTCAAAAGGGAAAGGATTTTTTTTTCATCAAAAATCCCTTGGAAAATCTGGTAAAACGTGAATCTTTTAACCAGGAAAAAACGCACATGTGTGTGGAGGTATAAAAATTGGTAAAAATTGTGCATGTAATTTCAGCAATAATGATGAGTAAAAGTAATGCACCACATGCACACTTCTCAGCTCTTGAGCCTGCTCATTAAACCCTTATTAAACCCCTGGAGGCACATACTGTTGTTACGCAAGATTGCTCAGACACTAGGTAGGGGAGCTGGGACCTGAACCTGTGATTCTGAGGTGTAGGGAAAATGGAGGGGCTCAGGTGCTTTTCTCACCTCTGGCACTAGCCTCTATGGCTGCCACCTGCAGCCTTGCTTTCCTCCCACATGCTTTCATTGGTCACACACAATATTGTGTTGGTGCAAAGAGCACTTGAGAGCGTGAGTACAGTGCATGCATGCCTATAATTACAGGCACCCAGGAGAGATCATTACCAGTGGGACATCATGAGAGAAGAGGGAATCCAGAAAGAGCATGGAGACCTGGGGTGAGGAGGGCTGGGAGCCTTGGTTGCTGCCCCCCAGGCCTCTGCCTACCCTCCTGCTCCCCTTCTTGCTGGTCTGCCTGTACCCGGTTCCCTGCTTCAGCATTAAAGGCCTGTCAAATCTATTGAGGGCTCCAAGATTCCTTATCCATTTGCCCAAATCAACGATGAGCCTGCCTGCCCTGTGACTGGTTTGTCCCTGACCTCATGTGCCCTGCACTGCCTGATGAATACATTTTATCACCCCCCTTCCCCTCCAATCTCTATTGCTGTCTGTCTCCAGGATACAGATGATGACACTGCCCAGCATTGAGTTGGGATGAAAGCCACAGAGCTTCACCAGCTATGAAGACGGGAGACCCTTCTGTGTGCCTGGTGCAGCGCTTCTCAAAGTGTGGCTGCAACACCATTTCCTGCAGCCCTAGACACATGTTAGAAATGCAGATTCCTGGCCCCCCCAGGCCGCTGAGTAAGGAATTCTGGAGGTGGACTTGGCAATCTGCAAGTTACCAGCCACCCTGCCTCTCTCCCCACCCCCACCCCCATCCCAGGGACTTGGATGTGTGTTGAATCAGTGAATGGAAATTTTATGCATAGATGGATTGGCAGTACCCGCATGGCAGCCTCTATTTTTATACCTTTAGAAAGTTTGTGACTCTGCACTGAATCATCATTCATCACCAATCAGGTTTCTAGCCCAGAAGAGCTGTGCTTGAGTGGCTTTTTCCCCAGCAGCCTAAAAGCCAGCCACTCGCAGGCCAGGGTGTAGGTGGAGCGCGACTGTCCTTGCCTCATGCCTGAAATTAAAGATTCAGAGGTTTCCCTGGGCCCATGATTCAATGGCAGATGGCCCACTGGCCCCATGGACAGCTTTTCTGTTCCTTGATGGGTAAAGATTGGCTAGAAGTTGCTTTTCTTAAACATGTCTGGGGACTTAAAAAAAAAAAAAATCCCCCCAGCAGATTCTCCCAGAGAGGTTCAGTTCTTGGCCTGTCAAGCCAGGATATTAAATGAAGCAATTTTCATCAGATAACACATCTTCTGGTTCATGTAAACGTCCCACAAATCGCCAAGCTCATAACTCAGCCTGATTGAAAGCAAGCCGCTAATCCATTTCACTTTGTAGATGGGTTGTGGGCCAGCTGAGAACTTGCCCTGGCCCGAGAGCCCCATGGCAGTCATACAAAGATGCCCTGTCCCTTCCCCTGGCCTGGTGAGGCTAGAAGGTTGCTGAGCATCCAGTTCCCCTGGCTTCAGACCATGCAGCCACCGGGTACCTGGACCCTGGTGTCTTAGAGAAGAAACCCGTGCCCTGTGCAAGACACATTCAGAGTTGAATTATGATGTGGGTGACATTGCCATGAGGTCCCTGGAGACCTGGCCCTTCTGCTCCAGCCTCATCAACTGCTGGCTCATCTTTACCAGCCATTGCATTCATTCCCTTGTCTACAAAATGGGCAGGCAGTGCTGCTTACTGATCTAGCGGGCAACTAAATGGGATGATGTCTGTGAATGTAAGCTAGATTAGTGCTCCCTACCTCACCGCCATACATGCGGGTGCTGTTATTGTTGTTGTGCTGATTAGTTCTATATCTTTATCTCCTGGTGTCTGCTTCTTCCATCCAAAGTTTCCTGAGTACTTACAGTGTACTCAGCATCGTTGGATGCTTTCAGGACATCCTCTTAGTCAATCCACACCATCCCATGACCCACACTTTAATTCTCGGTGGTGCAATATTCTCACCTGCCAAATGGGACTAAATGACAGGGCTTCTTTGAAGACATGAAATAATAGGAGTAAAGCATCTAGTGAGAGGCCTGGCTGGGCTGATGCTCAAGAAATCCGATATGAGAACTTATGTTTTATGAGCTTGTGTCTATGTGACTTGGGGATTGAGACGAGATACTTGACTGAGTGAACAAGGACGAGCATAGGTCAGATGAGAGATGGGCAGACAGTGGGCAAGGCACAGCAAGGTCAGAGGAATGATGGTGGAAATGAACGTGTGTGCATATGTGTATGCATGTCTGTGCATGTGTGTGTGTAGGAGAAAAGCACTCCTTGGCATTGTCTCTCTCCTGAGTACATGGGGAAAAATGGAACAGTGGGTACCCCCGATATGATGGGGCACAAACATGAACTGAAAGGACATAGACCCTTGAAGGACAGACAGGCTTTCCCCCACTATCCAATACATGTCACATGGCCTATGGAGCGAAGGTCAACGGAGGCCTTGTGGGTGTCAAGAGAAACTGTTGCCGTTATCTTAAAGAATGCAGATTACCTGGCTGTAGGTAAAATCCTATTGGAGAAAGCTGTCTTATGGCAGGGAAAACATCGTGATCTTTTGGTTTTGTCATCCGAGTCCCCCTCTTCTCCTCTTGTGGATCCCCCTCTCTCTCCTAGAGCCCCAGGCTCCTATCTCATTCATTAGCTCAATGATAAAGGCCCTTAGTCTGCCTCACTCAAGAATTTACAGCCATATACGTTCTACATATGTACGTAATTACATTTTTCCTTTTCTCCTACGAGTATGTTTGACGTTAATTGGTTTGCTCGGCCAGTCCAGGAACCTCAGAAGAATAAAGGAAAATTTCCCCCATCTGCATGCAACCCCTACACCCTGAAGTGGTCAAATTTACCCAAAAAAGTTGTTCTATTTGGCACCTCCCTGGTCCTGCCTCTGTACCCCCAACTGTGTTCAGCAATGATTAGGTGGTTCCCAATGTTTGTTGATTGAATTAAGAGCCTTAACCACAAAAGGAATCCTACTTTGCCAGATGGAGCTGCATACTCAACTGATAAAACCCAGCCTACACCCACCTTTGTGATGTAAAAAACAGGAAGGAATCACAACATGAGTGCCCACCTAAGATGACATTTTCTCAAAGCAGTTGCCACGTGCCCACTCTCACAGTTTCTGTAAGAAACAGAAAGCACAGTTAAATTTGAATTTTAAATAAGCAACATAATTTTTTTAGTATAAGTATATCCCAAATAGTGCATGGGGCATACTTATACCAAAAAAATCATTGTTTATTTGAAATTCATATATAACTGGGGATCCTATATTTTTACTTGCTATAGCTAGAAACTCGACCCTGGATGAATCAGAAAGACTTTGAACTGATATTTAAAAAAATCCATCCATAGTCTACTCCCACCTACAAGCTTCCTTTTTATCACAATGTAATGTTGATGAGAAAACTGATATAACACAACAAAATAATACTAGCACAAAAAATGCTACCTGGCATACAAATATATTCCCCCTCCCTGTTATCTGAAACTGTCAATTGCAAAATGAAATTCCCCCCCTAAATTTATGCTTACTGTGGAACATCTAAAATATAACGAAAAGCATGTAATCATAATCCAATTAATTTGAGATAATTTCAGTTAATACTATTCCATAGCGCCTTATTTTTTTCCTCCACAGACTCATCATTTGCCACGTAATTGAGAAAAAATACAAAATTCTGCACTGTGACTTTCACTCTGGCATCATATTACATTTGTTTTCCATGTCATTAAAAACTCTGACGTTGTCTTTCTAAATCACCCAATGCTGTCCCATTGCATGGATGTGCATGGGGTTTTAAATTGTGTGATAAGTGGCTCAGGGACAAACCTTTTTACGTGTAAGTTCGCCTTTGGACTTCAGGCTGTTTCCGTTCAGTGAGTCCTGGGGTGAATGGTTGAGAACTCACCCACCGGCCATCTGGCTACACGTACACTGTTTTTTCTTTTGATTTTAAAAGAAATGACTAGTCAGAGGGTAAAATGTGGTGTGGACAGAGGAGTGGAGAGGCAACCATCCAACTCCATTTGTAGTTGAACCACCAGTTCCGAAATCAACACTGCTGGCCGCTGGCCCTCTCTGCTGCTGAAACTCATTGCGTAATTACACTCCAGATACCCTGTTGTCTTCTGTACCCACCTGCAGAAAACTCTCGTGGCCTTCCTTTACAGTGTCACCAGCCTTAATGCTACCTCTTCAAAGAACGATCGCTAATTATAGTTATTTTACTTTGGGGACCTTGATTGTTGGTGAGTTTGATTTTTTTTTAAAATATAGAATGTATTTTTGAATGAATGACACATGCATGCTTGCATCTGTCTATCTGTGAATCTGTCTCTATCACCACTTGTTAACAGCCAGCCTGCTCCAGCCCTTTAGTCAAGAGTGAGCTCCCAAGTGTTGGAATCACATCTGACATGGCTTACCTTTCTCAAAAAATGCACTCTCAGTGATAGGCACATAGTAGGCCCTCATTACGAATCAATTTCCGGTTGACTGCTTCCAAAGGTCCCTCCAGAGAGAGATCACTACCCCAGGACTGGGCCCCGGAGCCCTCTGGGCGTACAGTGCCTCACCCACCTTGGCTCTCACCCATTGTCCATTTTAAGGTGAGCAGCTTCGATGGCCTCCGGCAGGTGTGTGCTAACGCCTCAACGGAGCAATTGTGACATCTTTGATGCAGATGACAGGAATCAGGCTCTCTCGCTGGCATTGCAGAGCAGATGAGTGGCACAGATCATCTATGGAAAGCATGGTGGTTTCTTGAATGCAAGACCTTAAGACCCTATTGGTGGTTCGCACTCGGGAATAAAGATGACGAGCACTCAAAATGGGGGGCTGGGGGACCACCTGCCCCGACACTGGCCGGCCTGAGGCACGAATTCCGGTGCTGTTTCCTTACTGCTCAAGCTCTTCCATCTGTGCATTACAAAGTCCCAGTGTTTGCAGGGACTTTTATGTCCCTCTTGAATGTATAAATAAGGCAGACACCCTGACAGGAAGGGCACATCTTTCCTTCAAAAAATGCCACGCTTTGTCTCCTTTGTGTGCCACTGGAATTCCATAGTAAATAAGGCTCAGAAAGGACTTCGGTTCTCCTCGTCTTCTAGAGTCTGGGAAGAAGTGGCAGTGCCCTCCATCAGTGTGAATGTGACCAACTTGTGGCTTCCTGGCTTGTTCTAGATAGTTGAGGTTGCAGGGGAGAACAATAGCCAGAGTATGGTTCCAGGTAAATGAGGTTGGAGGGCCTCCCTGGTGGTGCAAGGGGTTCAGTCTCAGCACTATGAAGCTCTCCACAGCCACTGCAGCATGAGTTTGATCCCTGGCCGGGGAGCTACCCACGTGGCGCAGCAGACCTTTCCTAGAGGCTGTTCCGCTGAGCTGGTCTTGTGGGATGCGAATATCTGCCAAGTGCCTATCCCATGGAAAGTGCTGGATTAAGTCAGGGGTGACTTGGACAGCTGTTCGGTACTTACACCAATGAGCTTTGTGAGTCGCCAGGGTAAAGGACAAAGCAGCGTTTCTCAAACTCATTTCACCACTGCACGTTTTTCCTTTTTCTTTCTCCTTTCTTTGCAAAATATGGCATCACTTTGGAAATATCCTTGAGTTTTCATGGTTTGATGATGCCCTTTTGATGTGTGTGTGCATCACGCATGCACGGAGATATTTTGATATTATCACATAACAAAGTCAAAGCTGTTTTTCACCGTGGAAACTTAGAGCACTAGGAAAGAAAGCTCAGGAAGTTCTGCAGAGGCGTTTGGGCCGAAGACTTATGCCTTGCTCTTAAGGGCCCACCTAATTGAGCAGTTAGAAGTCCAAAGGCTGGACCTACTGTTCCCTCATCTGAACAGGATTTAATTGTGACATGTGCCACTGTGAGGTCCCTCCCTGTCATCACTTGGACAAACTGTCTAGAGAGAAGCAGCCATCTGAAGGCGCCAAAGACACATGCGGGCTGCATTTTGCAAAATGTCCTGGAGGCGAAAGCTGCTACTTGACCTTCCTCAGAACCTTGAAACTCTACAATGAACTCAGTGCAAAACCTCACTCACTCCGTTCTTCTAACTGCTCTCTGGGCAATAAATTAAGATGGCCTGAGGTGTCTTCCTGCTGGCTGGGGCTGGAGAGGACGGCTCGGTGGTTGTTGGGGAGAGTAAAAGGCGCATGTGTGGGTTGGAGTCGCTGCAAGTTCCTACTGGAAGTGAGTGAATCTTTCTGGAAGTTCTCTGTTGGATTCCCAGGGGCTGGGCCTCTAACTTTGATCTCTAAGACCAGAGCTTTGCAGAAAAGAACAACAAAAAAAATTGACATGATTGGGTCTGGAGCGGCAGGAATTTATGACTGGAGTGGATAATGAAGAGGCTGAAAACATAGAAACAGGCCTTACAATCCTTGACACCCTCTGATCCCCAGCACCCCTCCTGGGGCTCTTCTAAACCTTGTGCAACTGCTGGGAAGCAGGGACCGGAGGCTGGGCTGTGACTGCTGCGTCCTTTTAAACCAAGTACGTGAGCTGCTAGTTGTTGAAGAACCAATGGTGGGATTTGGTTTGGAGAAAGGGTTTAAGAGGCAGTGAGAAGACGAAAAACGAACAGGCAGGACTTAGGGGTTGGGAGAGGGCAGTGAGACCTCTCATCCGAACTTATACTTACTTTGTAATGAACCCATCAGCAAATGGGACCAGTACTCATCAGGGACCCTCTAGAGAGAATAAAATCAGGTTAACCAGGCACTGCTCTTAGATAAGGACCTGGCATGTGCTGGCCTGGGGTTAGCAAACTATGACTCCCAGGCCACATTTGCTGCCACCTGTGGTTAGGACATATTATTGGAACACAGCCCTGTCTGTTTCCTCACATATTGTCGTAAGGGCCATGTTTGTATGATCAGGGTGGAAATGAATAGTTGAGACAGAGATCTGGTATGGCGTACAGTAAAATGTATTTGCCATCTGGCCCTTTATGGACAACGTTTGTCAGTCAATCCTTAGTCAAGAATGTTACCTGTTCTTTATGTTGCTAATACCTATCCCAGGGGGAATATAATAAAAATAAACGAGGAAATATAAATTGGTTAAGATACTATAGAAAGCCATATAGAGGTTCCTCAAAAAATTAAACATAGACCCACCATTGGACCCAACCATTCTACTTCTGGGGGTTTCCCAACAGAAATGAAAACAAAAAATGGTAGACATAGTGGCACTCCAAGTTCGTGGTCGTGTGATTCAAAATAGCCTAGATCTGAAAATGACCTAAGTATCTGTCAATGGGTGAGTGGATAAAGATGTGAGATATTATATACATATATATATATATATATATATCTCCCAATAGTATGTACAATACCATGTTATATACCCAATGGAATATTATTCAACCCCAAAAAAGAGAGAAGTCATGGCATTATCAACAACAAGGATGGACCTTGAAGACATTGTGTTAAATGAGATAAATCAGACACAGACAACTGCTGTGTGATCTCACATATAGAATCTAAAAAAGGCTAAAGTTGTTAAAACAGAGAGCAGAGTGGTGATTACCAGGGATCGGAATATGGGGAACTGAGGAGCTATTTAAGGGTACACACTTGTAATCAGTAAACAAAAGTCCTGGAGTCTAATGCACAGCATGGGGATTATAGACAACAATACTGTATTATAAACTTCAAACGTGCTAGGAGGCCAGATCTTCTTTATTCCTACTATAAAAAAGTAATAATTATCATATGATAATCATATGACAGAGGTGTTAGTTAATGCTATCCTACAACGACAATCACATTGCAGTATATTAATGGATCAAATCCACACGTTACAGGTCAATTACATCTCAATGAAAAAATTATACCTCGATGAATAAGATGAGGATAAATATGTTGAACAACTTTGAATATTTTTCAAATGAAGCCAAGGCTGGACTGAAAGGGAGGTTTATTAAATCATTCACTTAACAATGAGATTTTCTGTAGAAATTTTTAAAGACGTTGAAAAGACTCCTTAATTATATGGAAGCTCACACACAGATAGGCCAGATGGAGTGTTAGTTCATCCTCAAATAGCCTTTGGTTATTTTTAGCTCCTTCTAGAGGTGAGAACTTAAGGCTCAGAGTGTTTATTTTACGTGAGGTCTCCAAATTTACATAGGTGGCAAGAGGCAGATTCAGAACACAGGCCTTTCTATTGGTGTGAAAAAACAAACAAATAGAACAAACAAGTCAGTAGGCAAATCAGTACATATGATAATATCTAATTTTTGTAAAAATAAGTATCAATGTGTGTGTATGTGCACAATTAGATGTGGCAGGGAGACATTTAAAATGGTCACAGAGGTTATTTGGGTTCATAAAACACATAGTCTCTTGAATACGTGTAACAAAGAGGGAAAAACGTTAGACAAGGAAAGGGTGTAGGCACAACGTGTCAGGTATCATTTGCTAGTCCTCCGCACACTTCAGCCCTCATTAGCAGTTAGGTTAGTCAAGTTCCAAAGCAAATGTGAGTATTGGTAGAATGTGATTCGAAGGAATACTTGGTAGCACCAGGAGCCATGGCTTCTGAGCTTCCCAATTTCCCTCCATGGCTCAGATCTGCTCATCTCCCCTCCCTCCCCCACCCCCCTCCTCCTACCCCCTCCCCCTCTCTACCCCATCCTGGAGTTACAAAGCCTCCACGCCCCTCCCTCCCTTTCTTGGGGGTCTGGGATCACCTCTCAACTTTGAAGAGCCCTGCTGCTTTTTATAAATATTTTGGAAGCATCTCAAGTCTTAAAAAAAAGAAAATTAAAAAATCACTTACAAGAGATGCATTTTGACAAATCGAGGGGTCCAGGAGATCATCTTCCAGGTTTTCATTGTATTCCCCCGTACTCCAGAGAGTGGGAACCCATCCAAACCAGAATGTGCACTGCCCTGTTCTATTTCTGGGAGAATAAAAGGAATCTGGCCATGTCCTGCGAAGCATCCGACATTCACATACTTTTCTGGCCCAGACGCTTTGCCAAATGTCAGTGTGACTTGCAGAATGTGGCTGTTTTTATTTTAATCTGCAAACATCGCTCCGTGAATTATGACCTTGCCCTGGTTGGGGTATTAGAGCAGGAATCGGGGAAGCAGTGAAAGGTGATCCAGGCAAGGGAACGAGGGTTTGGAAAAGGCAGACTTCAGAGGTACCTGTCAAAACATTCCTTGGTAAAAATGCTTTTCCTTCTTTGCTCATTTTTAGAAACTTTCTTCTTTTTTTTTTTTAGAGACTTGGAACACTCAAGACTGCCTGTGAGGTTTTGTTTACATTCCAGTAGACCTGTTCAGGTGGGCCTGAGTGTCTATTCATCGAGGTAGAGGTCGTGACTCGGCTGTGGACACACAGGCGCTGGCGAGCTGGGGCCGGCTCTCCAGGTACACAGGTGTGTGCAGGCACACACAGGAGGGTAGCTTTTGGGGAGATATACAGGGTAGTATGGGGGCACAGGGTGATTTTTTTTGTAGCTTTATTTTTTTTAAAATAAATTTTATTTTTATATTCCCCATACAATTGCGACCCCCTTATTTTGACCCCAATCCCTCCCCTCCCTGCCCCTCACCCCCCATAGAGTGTCTCTGGTTCATAGTTGTTTGTTGATTTTGATTTTCACTTTCTTATAGTTATTCATTTTCCTGGTCCCTTATTTAAGTTTTCTAGATTCCTGCTATGAGGGAGACATCCGGTATTTTTCTTTTTCTTTCTGACTTATTTCGCTGAGCATGATCCCTTCCAGCGCCATCCATGTTGCTGCAAATTGCATGGCATAGGGTGATTTTAATGTCATTTAGGGGTCAGTGAGAAGCGGTGATGATTGCGCAGGATGGCCTGAAGGCTGAGGGGGTGGGGATGGGGTTTGGAGGGGCAAGAGGTCTTATGCAGAGGGAGCAGCCAAATGGGGGTTGGGGTGGGAGAGAGCATGGCACATTCAAGAAGCCACTTTCTAACTGTAGGGTGGCAGGAAAGGGGAGGTTACCAATGAACAGGGATCTTAGAAGAACGCCGGGGTGCGTTCACACATGATGGAAGATGATCATGCTGATTGCTGTAGAGGTCACAGTTCGGTCATATTCTGTTTAAAATCCAAATAAGGGATCAGGGAAAAAAGTTATTATAATAAAGTGAAAATCAAAATCAACAGGCAACTATAAACCAGAGACACTCAGCCGGGGCGGGGAGAGGGGAGTAGGATCCAAACAGGTGGGGAGAGCACAGGGCCTGAGGTGATGGGACGCGGGTGAATGGGGGGTGGGAATTTCACGGGGACTCTAAAGCATGCGCTGTACAAACATGAAGAATGATGTAAAAAATATGTAAAATAATAAAAGAAAAAAAATCCAAACTGGGGCATCAAACATCATGAACTTGGATTCATTTGCATCCCTGCTCCCAATGCTAATGAAGTAATAAAGCATTTTAAAATCAAAGCCAGAAGGTATTTTCTTTTGGTTCCCCCCCGCCCCCCCAGAGGAAGTATGCACCTGGAACTGGCTCCATGTGTTTCTTCTATGACTTGGGGAGCAGAGGGGACCTCCGTGAATGGGAGAACAAGGCACACGGACCCACAGTCTTGCTTGGAAAAGGTCAACCCTTTCTCTCCCACACTCCCACAAATCCTCAAAGGCCTCAATCCTCATGCCCAGACGGTGGCCTCAACGTATTTGGGATTAAATCAGAAGCAATTTGAGTACAGTTCTGCTGAAAACACCATCGCAGCCCCTGCCCCACTGGAGGAAGGGGGAGTGTGGAAATCAGCATCAGGGCGCAGAGATTTGTATGCGGACTCCCCTTTCACCCTTGCTCAGCGCCCCCCCCACCCCCAAGGAGTCATCTTTCCCATTTGCAGATGAGCAAACCGAGGTCAGATCTCTAAACCCCCGCTGTGACCGCCCCACCCATTCCGCCTTTGGATCACTGGGTGATCCACCAGCTGCCCGAGAGGGGTCTCCTGGCCTGGGGGCATCTCCCCAGAGCACCCACTTCTATCACATTTCCTCCTCTGTCCTCCACTCAGAGTTCCTGCTAGAGCCCACGGAAGGAGCTCAAGGCATGTTCCAGCTGGTGGACGGTCGGCTGCCCTCTGCGTGGAACTGACAGTGGACCAGGCGGCGCCGAGGAGGTGGGGGGTCGACAGCGACCCCATTCTGGTCTCCCACCGCCCGTAAGGTGTGCTCTTCCCCTGTCGCTGGGGGAAGCCTGGGACAGTCTCCTGCTGTTTGTCTCTCTGGTCTTTGGTAATAAAAGCTCCCACTGTCATTTTCCGTCGTCACAGTCCTTACATTAGGATGCTCGTGCTGTCGTAAGACCCAGCTTCAAACTGGACTGAAATGAAATCCGCTCCCTTTTCTCAAGAGGACCTGCCCATTGGCCGGTCTCGTCCCTGTTTTACTTTTCGGTCCCACTCGGCCAACTTTGGCCACTGAGGTCGCGCAGGAGGGCCAGGAGGACCAGGACGGGCGGAGAGAGGGTGGAAGTCCTTGTTTGACTGACCCTCTTCACTGGCCTGTCCCCTCTCAGTGGCACTCTGGGTCTGTGGGAGACGCCCCATCACTGAGGACCCCCCCACCTGCCTCTCCCCGCCCCCCCGGGCTGAGAGTGCACCCCTGGCTCATTGCTGAGGCTGCCCAGGCCCCCAAGGTCCTGCAGTGGCTTTGGCACCTGGGTCTTCCCTCTGCCCAGTGTCCCTTTCGGCTTATGGTGACCGGCACCAGCTCTCCCACGCGGCCCTCGTCACCTCCGCAGCCGGGCTCAAAGCCCTTTCTTCCCACGACACGCCCTGGACGCGAAGGTCTGAAGGCACCCCCTTCTCTGGACTGCGCAGAGCCCAGTCTGCCTTGTGTCTCTCCTTGTGGGGGGCCAGACCAAGCTCCCCGTTTATCTGTGGAACTCGGATTATGGCTCTCTGGGTAGCTGCTTTAACGTTCCTTTGTATTGTCCTAGCGTGTCCTCCACCCCACTCCACGGGGGCGGTGGAACTTCCACTGTGAGTCCCTACAATTAATTGTGTCCTCCTTATTTCTCCCGGGCCTTGATATACCCTTTTTAAAAATTAAATATGTTTTATTGAGTTAATATTATTTCACGTTATTGTTTCCATAAGAATAGGGTAGGACCTCCCCAATGAACCCACAGTCCCCCCATACACCTCTGTGCTCCCTGATTGAGGCAGGGGTAGGCAAGTCCATGAATTCATTCTACAACACCTACTTTGGAATTTCTGTGGCACAGCCTGGGCTGGTGTCTGTGATGACGCGCGTTACCAGCCCCACTCCGTCACCCTTCCTGGTCTTCGTGCCTGTAAAGGCAGGACTGGCCACAGTGCAGGTTTTCTGATCCCATGCAGACCGGGTAAAGGAGGAGTCAGAGTCCTCAGTGGTTTTTGCAGGTTTTTTATTGGGGTTCACCAGGCATATGGCAGGCAGGGGTGCTGGCTGGGGGGCTGGGAGGCTGGCAGGCCTCCCAGCCCCCAGCAAGTCTTCACTCTATCTGGGCTCTCTAGCGTTCGTTCTGCTGCTTCTCAGCTTCTCTTTCGGCGTCTGCTTCGGCTTCTACTGCTGCTACTGGTGCTGCTGGCATCCCCCCGTGACGCTGCCCTTAAAAAGCACAGTCTTAGCTCAGCTGAATCCCATCTACCTATGCCCACACCCTACTCCAGGTGCCCGCCATCAGGCATGCATTCAGGACAAGGATCCATCATCTGTCCTGATGGCGGAAGGGCAGAAAAGCCTGACATTTTCTTTACCCTACAGTGCCCTTGGCCAGGGACTGCAGATTCTGTTAGAGAGGTGGGCGCTGTCCCCAGCCTGGCCGCTGCGCTGGCCGTGCCATCTGCTTAACCCACGGCAGAGACGCTGTGTGCCCGCCCTGTGCCCTGGCCCCAAGGGTCCTTGTGCAGATCCTGCCTCCCCCCGCCCCTCCCACTACCTTGGCCTCACCAGGAGCACGTGTCCAGGGGACCCCACGGGGGTGAGGGACAGGCGGAGTCCAGCAGCCAACCTCAACCACGCGGTCAGCCCCAGGCAAGATTAACAGAGATGCCTGGTGGCTCGGCCCAGACTCGCCAGCCGAGGCTGTTTATTATCACATGCCACGGCAGCTGCGTGTGATTTATGGCACAGCATTATGTTGGCATTAGATAATTGAGAAGTATCTGATATCTCGAGCCTTAGGGTTCCATCTGAAAATTCCATATTGTCATAAATATTGCTCCAAAACTCTAATCTCCAATGACAAAATAAAAAACTTAATCCCCTCCTCACTCTAGTCCTTCTTTCTGAAACGTAACAAAAACTCAAGGAATTTCACCGATTTTAACCATATCAAATGATACTGCAGATTCCCAAAGAGTGTTCTAGGTAGCAATACTCCCTGGAAATGCTCCCTCCTCTCAGATGCCCGCGTCACTTGTGTTCAGGGGACATTTCATGGGGTGGGGTCTAAGGTGAGAGGAGCAGGGCACTGGCCTCAGATGCAAAGTCTCAGCAGGCGCCCCCAAACCTCAGAATCGAGATCAACATTTTTAAAAATGAAAGTGGGGCCTCCCTGGTGGCACAAGTTGTTAAGACGCAACCTATGAAACGGTCCACAGCCTCTGCAGCACGAGTTTGATACCCGGCCGGCCAGGGAGCAACCCACGTGGTGTAGTGGACCTCTCCTGTCTCGCCCGCTGCTCCCCTCAGCAGTGTACTTCGGTCAGTCTGCCTGTTCTGTTCCCCCTCTGTCTCTGTGAATCCTCTTACCCCCCACTCCTCTGGCCTGAACCCCAGCTCTGGTATGCGTAAATAAATAAATCTCAAAAAAAAAAATTAAAAAAAAAATGAAAATGAATGCAAGATCCATGATGAGCAAAATATCACAATTTTAAAGAGGGAGAAAATCACCAACGGTGCCCTGGCCAGCTCCCCTGCGGCTGAGGTCAAAGGAAAGGGCAGCAATGCTTTTATAAAAAATAATACAAATAAAAAAATTAAAAAGTTAAAAAAATCATACGTCACCCCCACCATGCACATGACTTCAGAAGAGGCTCTGAGGGGCCCCCTGAGTTTTCTTGACTTGTTGCCTTTCTTGAAAGCATGTTCCAAGGGCAGAAGAGAAACAGGGTGCGTGGGAGACGTGGGGTCCACACCCAGCTCAATTCTGTTCCTAGAAGACTCTGGATTCAATGTGTGAGAGAGGAAAGAGGAAGGCAGTAGGGTGCTCTCGATTCTCACAGTCAGAAAAGCAGAGGGGGACGGTGTAGGGGCAGGAAGGACACTGAGCAGGTTTTCTGATCCAGCAGACCGGGTAAAGGAGGAGAGAGTCCTGGAGCCCTCAGTGGCTTTTGCAGGCTTTTATTGGGATTTACTGGGTACACAGCAGGCAGGGGTACTGGGGGGCCGGGAGGCTGGCAGGCCTCCCAGCCCCCAGCAAGTCTTCACTCTATCTGGGCTCTCCGGCCTTCACTCTGCTTCTCTGCTCTTCTGTTTGTTCTGCTTCTCATGACTTGGCTTCTCTGCTCCTGCTGGCGTCCCCGTGACGCCGCCCTTAAAAGCCCAGTCTCAGCCCAGGTGAATCCCATCTACCTACGCCCACACCCCGCTCCAGGTGCCCGCCGTCAGGCATGCGTTCAGGACCGCAAGGCTCCATCATCCATCCTAATGGTGGGAGGGCAGGAAAGCCTGACACTTTTACCTCACCCTACAGAGGGGTAAGCAGGGAGGCTCTGGGTGGGACTCCTGGGTGCCAGTCAGGCTTCAGCCACTTGCATGTGTGATCTCTGACCTTCCAGTGCCTCCGGTTCCTCACTGCCCCAGTGGGAATCCCAGCTCGAGGCGCTCAGGGGAATCAGCGTGTGACAGGTTTGCTGAGCACTGTAGAGGTCTCAGAGGCCAAGTGTCTCCGGCCAGGAGTCCTTTGAGGACTGAGAATGAGGCGACAGGTTTATGCCACCAGGTCCGCTAGTGGAAAGTGGCCGAGCAGAACCACCTGCCCCAGTACAGCTGCCCTGAGACGAAGCTCAGATTTCTGGACTCCCGTTGAATCCCACCACCAAAGGGTCGGCCACCGGGCCCATGAGTCCCGGCCTTGCTTGGGCAGGGGGTGGGGGGCACACAGCTCTGAGACCCCCTGGTCAGGGGAGCAGGGCCCAGAACATTCCCCCTGGCTGTTTCACACCCAGAGCAAGAGCAAGTGGCGCTCTGCAGAGGGGGTGAGTCTCTGTGCCAAGCCTTCTTCTTCCTCCCTAAATTGCTGCAGGAGAGAGGGTGGCTGAGCGTCTTCCAGGATGTCTCTCCAACTTCCTCTCTGCATCCCAGCAAGGGTAATCTGGAAGCTTCTAGAAAATTCACAAGAGCCGGGGCCATGAATCCCGAGACATCCCAGGCGCTGTTCAATGGAGCTATTTTCTCAGTGTCCACAAGGGACTGTTCCTGTTGGCAGAGGCTGAGCAGAGACAGAATTGTCACCCGCAGAGGCCTGTGCCCAGGGTGGTGGGACAGGAGGTGGTGCTGAGTTGGTTCATGAGAAGGCACCCCAGATTCTAATGAGTCATTTCTGGTCGAGGGTATCCCTCATGAGAAAACAAGTTAATAAAGGTGTTGGGAGGCTGGAGACTGGGAAGCACTTTTCCTGGGTTCAAATCCTGGTTCTGTCACACCTGTGTGGCTTCAGGCAAGTAGCTTAACCTCTCACATGCTCAGCCAATGTTTGGAAAAACCTCCCTGGGGTGTCGTAAGGGGCAGGACAGGACACAGTGCAGGTTTTCTAGGATCCCATGCAGACCAGGTAAAGGAGGAGTCAGAGTCCTCAGTGGCTTCTGCAGGTCTTTTATTGGGATTTACCAGGAATCCAGGCATATGGCAGGCAAGGGTGCTGGGGGGCCGGGAGGCTGGCAGGCCTCCCAGCCCCCAGCAAGTCTTCACTCTATTTGGGCTCTCCGGCCTTCTCTGCTTCTCTCTCGGCTTCTGCTGCTTCTTTCTCGGCTTCTCTTTCGGCTTCTGCTGTGTCCCTGTGACACCGCCCTTAAAAGCCCAGTCTCAGCCCAGGTGAACCCCATCTACCTAGGCCCACACCCTACTCCAGGTGCCCGCCATCAGGCATGCGTTCAGGACCGCAAGGATCCATCATCTATCCTGATGGCGGGAGGGCAGAAAAGCCTGACACTTTTCCTCACCCTACAGGTGGCATTTCCTAAATTCCCATACCAGAGACAGTGATGCTGTAGGGTAAGGTAAAAAGTATCAGGCTTTTATGCCCTCCTGCCA